TTGGTCCTTTCTTTTGATACACAAAACAATACGACAAACCCGATCACCGTAGGTATCATTATAGCAATTGATTAACTAAACAAACAAATTGGGTAACTCCCATAGCGTTCCAAATTTTTGTACAGATGGTGGAACCCCAAAGCAACCTTTTCCGAAAGTTGTCCCGATGATTTTTGCAAATTAACGGACAGATTTCGACGTATTTTTTTATTGTACATTTTCCGAGAGGTTTCTGTTCGCCTATTATGGAGTTACATTTCTTGTTATATTTCGGAAATTATTCCATTTGTTAACTAGCAAAAATCGGATTTTGAAAAAAAAATTTTACAGTCCGTGGATTTGCAAGAATCATCGGGACAATTGTTGGAAACGGTTTACTTAGGGTTCCACTAGCGGAAAGAATTGGGGGAGAATCTGGAAGTCACCCACTTTTGGAAGACAAAGCATGGATTAATTTGTATTTTTAATTAATCAATGACTATGATACCTACGGTGATCGGGTGCGTATTGTTCTGTTATCAAGCTACGGATAATATGAAAGAGAGGACGAATTTTGCTTAGTTACAGATTGTTAATTTTGGGGATTACTTTTTAGCGCATTTTTGAAAATTCTCTTCTCTTCATTTTCCCTCAGAGCAATAGATAACGAGATAATTGAAGTCAAATGCAAAAAAGACGAAGTTTTCCCATTCTTTCTTCGTTTTTTACGTTTTATAATAATTATACAGGGTCCTATAACACTGCGTCGGGCTTTCCAAGTTCATACCTGGTAAAAAGATAGCAAACAATCTTTTGTGCAAATGTCAACTATAGAAGGTTGTGCATCTACAGAAATTATTTTTGAATCTACAGAGTGTCTCATGTTTACGGTGGGGCTCACTTTGATAAATTGTGGCAACCTTGATTTTAAAGTTAAGAAATAGAAACAATCAATTTTAATCTGAATAAAAGGCACCACTTTGGTAATGAGAAAGTTGAATTTAATGATACAGAGTGTTTACAAAAAAAAATTGTAAAACTTCTAGATTTCAAAGTGCTATAACTATTTTTATTCAAATGGAACTACCACTATTTTGTTTCTCTATTCGACGGTCTGTTGTGCGCTCTTCAATCTTAGAAGGGATATCCTGTGCCTAACCCCGTAGTTTTTAAGTTATTCAATATTTTTCACTAAGCAGTTACACATTAATGAATTACATGTTTATAAACCGGAGTAAACCGTGATAGTAAAAAAACAAAGAATGCCAAATAGTAAACAAGTGCCATAAATTAATTGTTTGCTACACTGCAAGTGTACTCATTATTTCCTAGTAAAATAAGATTTTTTAAAAGGACTAGTTCGAAATTCGCCTTTTTAATTAATCTTATTTTACTACGAAATAGGGAGCACATTAATTGCAGCAAATAATTTACTTGTGACACTTGCTTACTGGAATTCTTTTGGTTTCTATTATCACGATCACGGCTTACCTTACACGATCCTGTTTATAAACATGTAATTCATTATTGTTTTGTGAAAAATATTCAATAATCTAAAAACTAGGGGGTTTAGGCACAGGACACCCCTTATAAAAATTGAATAGCACACAAAACCCTATCGAATAGAGAAATAAAATAGTGGTAGGAAAACATTGAAGCGTACCATAAAATTGCTCACAACCTTTGAATTTTAGATTCAGTCACAAAATGAAAGGTACCCACATTTACTTTCAAACGCTGTGAAAACGAAACTTCGTACAGAAAAACTCATAAAACATAAATTGTAGAGAATTTTCTACAAAAAAGTCCGACAGCTTATATGTATCTTTAACCATTAATATATGATAAGCGTTCAAGGATATTATTGATACCAACGAGGACACTAAGTACAACTTTAAATGGTTGGTAAGGCTGAACGATTAAAGATGCCGTCGCGGACTTTTTTATAGTAAATTTACTTGTCTACAATTTTTGTTCTATGAAATTTTCTTTGTCTAATTTGGTATTTGCAGCGTTTTCAATTATGTACGCGCGCCTATTATCCACATAAGTAGGTATACGGCAACAAATCAATGAGTGCAAGTGGGATAGTTCAGTCTGTCTTTGTCCTGCACATAAAACGCTCCGTAAGAAGGAAGAATAGTGACTGCCTTCGGAAAGCGCGCATATAAATCCAAAGGTACTTTTCACGTTCATTTCGTGGCTCCATCTATCGCTCAAGGTATTTTTAGAGACCCACGCGAAAGTGTACAGGCGTAGACTTCTTCCTAATTTTATATTCAAAGATTAGGCCCGGTTGCATAAAAGTGCGGTTGAACCGCCGGTTAGTGAAACTCCGGTTTGGGGTCAACCGTCGGTTGGAATGAAACGCGTTGCATAAACGCTATTTCTTCTGTCGGTTGAGGAACCAACGCTTGGTTTTAGATTTCTACGGTTGACTACACTGACGATTCGGTACTAGCCAATCCGCTTTTAGTATATGGAAAGCGCGGCAGCCGTGTTGGTAGTGTGCGCATGACAAATGCGTAATGGAGTATTTGACAAGGCGTAAATAGTATATTACATACCGCGGGACTGAAGTAGCATTTTTAATCCCGAAGGTAAAGTTTATGGCCCGACCGAAGGGAGGGCCATAATTTACCTGAGGGATTAAGACCACTACTTCAGTCGCAAGGTATATACGATATTTTTCGTACTTCCGAAACTGAAACACTTCAATATGTATGGAGTTAGAGAACGCGTTCTTTCAAAAAAACGCTGCTTAACAAGTTACCATAGGAACGTTGCGTTGGTACGACAAACCCTATGCTATGGTAACAAAAATAATTTGAAAACTGTCATTGCTAGTGTCATAATTTTGGTCGTGGGTGACGAAAGTGTATTTCATTTTGATAAAAAGCAGCCAAAGTAGGTAAAGAATTGATACCACCGAAATCCAAAAAACTATATGAGCAGCAGTACGATGCGTTTAAGAAGTATTGCCGCATACAAATTGTGGAACAACCTACTGAAATTGCCTTGTTAATAATTTCATCCTTCCGGGATTTTCGTCCAAATTTAATCCCGGCGGGACAAAAAGTGACACTTCAGTACTTGTCATAATGGAGTGAAGTTGTCACTTTAGTCTCGGAAGTACGAAAACTAATAAACGTTGCCCTCTTTCATGTAGTCTCCTTAAATTAAAAGGGACAACTTCTTATCCTCCCCCCTCCAATAAATATGATCGCTTGCATTCATGATTGAGTGTTATATTGTAACAAATTACTGCGGTACCTTTAATTCTTTGGATTGTGGGTTGCAGAGGTTTTGGTTTCTGATGGTATCCAAATTGAAAAGAAAATTAAGAAGAAAACCTTAACCCTACAAATAACCTATAATGTTCACAACTCCGCTGAATTAGCTACGCATTTTTGTTTTCTAAAGATATCACGGTAGCTTTTCTTAAACGAAATCCCCGCCGGAATTCTTCGTCGTTCCATCTTTCATAGTGATCCACCCTCTTTCGAAAATTTCTAGGTGCTGGGGTGCCCTCGTATGCTCTTCGTACTCGGATGAAGGGTCTTATGCCGACAGGAATCTGTCTCTCCGTCCTCTGTCTTTTTGCTCGGAATCACTTTCGGTCCACAAAAATCTCGCTTTTCCATCTTTATTTCTAGCCATTCTGAACAGCTCTTAACACGGAACGCACAAGAAATGAGCGGTATATTTTTGACGTTTGTATTAATTTGTATGTACTAACCTCACTTTTACACAATTCTCATATATGTAGTGTTTACCACAGCCGTCTATAATTACAAGCCATGCTGAGAAGTTTGGCAACGTTGTTCGAAAGTCAATCGGTGGGCCGATTCAAGTTTTAATGGCGTCTTGTTTCTCTTGAAAAATGGTATTTTTCCTCTCTACTGTGTTTCGCCTTGGTGGTTTTAATACAGAAGAAAGATACTTAGGCAGCTTACAATTGTACATATATTTTATTTATTTACAAAAATGGATAATAACATTTTTATTTGACTTTAAAATTCGGAACGCTGTAAATTGCTAAATGCATTATAATGAGTTTTCCATCGAGATCTCCGAAATTGGTGAACTTCTGTCGAAAGAGGTCGAGGTGAAGCACACGCTTGAGCACTTAATTTCGGTAAAAGGACAGTAAATCGCTCTGCATCAGCGAGGTTTTATTAACGATCAGGTGTGATTCGGAATGGCAGACTTTAAGCCAGTCGCTACTCCAGTGGGTCTAGGTACGAAGCTTTTAAAGAGGGGAGCCCCGTAGACTTCAAATTCCCGTACCGTGAACTCCTGGGACTAAGTCGGAAGGTTCCTTCAGAAAATCGACTTGACATGTCCGTGCTAGAATACCTGAAATACAAACTAATTGTGTTTTTTCACGATAAACACTTACCGTACTTACGTACCACGTAGTGTGTAGGTCATATTTGAGCTTGTACAGGTACGTTGAACAAATACAAGTGCTTGTAAAGGGTCCAGTAAGGAGTAATCTGCTTTAGAGGTTATGACAAAAAATCGATATATTTCGATTAGCAACTTACCTGAATAATAATTTCTGTTGATTCCATACGGAGTAACACAAATTGTCGCAATCACGCTCACTTAAAACAAGTAAATAGGAATATTACACCCAAAACACATATAAAATACACCTGACATCTGCCAAATTGAATTAGGAAATCGGCCTACCATGCAGTGTTGCCATAATTCTCAGCACGGCTTGTAATTATAGACGGTTGTGTGTTTACGATGAGCAAAACGATGATGGAAAATCACAAGCACTGTTGAGACCACATTACAAGAACTAACAAAAGCGCAAATATGAGCAGAAAAGAAGGTTTTCAAGTTATTTTTGTTCTTGCGAACGGATCGACTGGGCCGTCAACCGTCGGTTGAAGCGGCTCGACCAGTGGATTTCCGCCGGTCGAAATTTCGCCGGTTCAACCGCCGGTTGAACCCGCGGTTAACCTTTATGCAACGCAAAATCTCGCTCAACTGTTGGTTGAAGTCCAACCTGCGGTCAAACGAGTTTTATGCAACCAGCCCGTTGTATAAAGTGTAGTTGAAATTGAACCGGCGGTTGAGTGAAAAATTCTGTTGCATGACCGACGATTTAGCTCTAACTGACAGTTGAACTGTCAGTTGGCTCAAACGGCACTCGAAGTACGGATTAGCGAATTCAACCGTCAGTTTATGTTTGTTTGTGAAGTTATATAAATCGTTTAAGGTAAGATTCAAGCATTAAACTTCAAATAATAGTACAGAAACGATATTTATAGATGTCCAAAAAAAGAATTGCGTTTACGGATATAGATGTACGGACGCTTATAGATATAGTTTTCAAGTATAAGCATAAGATAGAATGCAAGAAGACTGACGTTATAACTTGGAGGGAGAAGGTAAATTAGAATATGTAGTAATTGTATATGCAGTAAGTATCTAACTGTTGCCCATGTTTAGAATGCAATTTGGTCTAAAATTGCAAATGAATTTAATTGTGCCGTGATGGATCAAAAAACTGCAGAGCAGTTACGTACGAAGTACGATAATTTAAAGAAAGAGGCCAGGAAGTATTTTGCTCAACAACGGCAGCAAATGGTACTGGTGGCGGTCCTGCCCAAGTTATGATAAGAGATTTTCTAAAAGAAATTTTTGAAAAAATAAAAGCCATCATTAATTTGTCTATCGAAGGAGTTGCGCCATGTAGAGGTGACAGTGATGCTTGTAAGAGTGATTTACATATTTTCTTATTACTAATGAGCTTTTGGTAGGCCTTATAGAGACCTCTGAGGCATCTTCATCGGTTGCCCAACAAAAAGATATCGCCGATGTTATTTTCCTTAATTTGCCGGACGCCTGCAATATCGAAATGCAACATCTGGAACCTTATGAAGAAAGAATAGATATTTCCGATTCCGCAGTGAATGAACATGAAATTTCAGTAACAACTGGTTACAAACATACGATTCTAACAGTTCAACAGTTTTTATTAATAACAAAATAATTTTAGATTGGAGTAACTATAAGCCAAGTATATTGAGAAAAAGAAAACACAAATTGTTACAACAAACAGCAAAAGGGACACCAACGAAATATGGTGAGTCATTAGAGGTAAAAATGGTGTTGTATTAACATGCTCCCTGTGGCATAGAGACGAAGGGTTAGCAACAACTGGTTCATTGCTGAAACTGCATGGTTTCTGTAATTTAAGTCAAATCAAATAAGTAATCCAAAATTACTAAAAAGTGTGTTACCTGTTACTTCTATGTACTAATTGGTCTTGGATAAGTGTAAGCAAAAAAGAGGTTGTTGCTTTACATAATCGAAACCTCATTCTAAATTCCTCTTCTGTCCATTTCGTAAAGTTATCAGGGCGGCTTCGAAAAGTACGTGGATGTCTCACTCGACGATTTAATTCCACTATTAACTCTTCATCCTCATCTGAAGTATTACTGCTACTATGTAGAAGATCTTCACCATCAAAAGAACTACCCTCATCCGACGAATGTGCCATTAGTGCACAGATAGGTAAAAAGTTCGAAGGCGTATAATAGTTATTTACCTAACAAGTTCGGTAAGTTAATTTTCCCGCATGAGCACTTTGTTTGCAGCACGACCGTAGGGAGTGCTGCATTTAGTGCGAATGCGGGAAAATTCTTTCCGAAAGAGTTAGGTACAATATTTTTTGTAACGAATTGCGTAAAAAAAGGTCAAAATTAATAAAGTTTTGTAAATTAGCTTTTTTTTAATCATGAGTTGGTAACACAATCATATGTTTGGTTGGTAACATAATTTTGTAACTACCCACTTTTAATTGCACTGGTCACATTTAAACTTCCACATCTTTGGTTAATACATATTTTCCCTTTGCAATGAGTGCTACTACTGCAGGTCACGGCATTGCATCGTTTGCACTGAATATCCTTGGAAGTCTTCAATGTTAACAAATATGCTTTGAAAAGAGTGCTCTTATTGGTCGCGTAAGTGTACTGATCGTATTTAATATTCCCAGAAGACATGTGTGAACAAATGTGTTCTGAAATTTGATTTATCTTGAGTTGCGTAAATACACTCGTTACATTTAAAATTCTAAAATTCTTGGAAGCTTTGTGTGTATTAATATGTGCTTTCTTAAACTGCATATGCGAATAGTTGTAGAATATCACTGGTCACATTTTTAGACGTTTTAACAATAAATTTTACTTTTTCTTGAGTTCCAATTCTGAAAAATAATTTGATTGCGTTATAAGTTCTTGTTTATATATTTACGTAAAACCATTGAATAAAAACACTATAAGAAGCCTAACCCCGTGGAAATAAAGCGCGACAGAGATTGAACTGAGAATATAATGGAAACACTGTCAATAGTGTCGATTCTTGAACTGAGAAGAATGAGAATTTGCTTTCCTCCTATTTACCGCAAACAGAGTTCGGGGATCACAACCAATGCGGGTGCAAGGGGATTTGTCGCGCTTTCTTCCATAAGCGTTAGGCTTCTTATAGTGTTTTTATTCAATGGTAAAACTTAGTGTACGTCTGTTTCCGATTAATCGCACTAAATACCCTTACCCTCAACGAACGGTTTAATTGATTTTACAGCAGATGACAGTTAACCATGACATGACGTTCGTTGACTTCAATAAGTACTACCAACCGAAGAACGCGCATAACCCCTTCTCTCCAGCGGAAACTAAAAAACACCGCGATGCGGGAAAGTCGTTTTCCCGTGCATCGAGGATGCTTGGAAACATTATCTTTCCATTCAATGAGTAGAAAAAGGAAATAAAATAACGTATAAAGTAAAATGTCACAATCAAATCTTAACGACAATTTACTGAGGCTACGAAAGTTTAAGAAACGGTTACTTCCCATTGGTTGTAGCTACCCGCCACACTGGTACCAACATTCAAAAATTCATTTCGACAACCGGTTACACAACGAATAGCAAATAAACTTTTATACAACCCATTACAACTTAACCGCCGCTTGAAATTCAACCTACGGTTGGTGAATTGGCGGTTGAGATAGCCTTTTTATACAACCGGCCCTAAGTCTAGTTATAAGAAAGTCTCTGCATGTGACCAATGAATGGTTCGCTAGCTCTCCCACTATAGTTTGTGTTCGGTAACTATAGATGTGTTTGTGATTGTATCTATGGAAACCTAAACAATGGTCGATCAATAAGAAAAATATTGTCACAAATGTCACAAGAAGCGAAAAATTTGCGTTCGGTTGCAATAACGGTACTTCTCGGTAACATAATTGAGACGGACGATTTGGAAGGCGACAGTGATGATGGGATTTCAGAAGAAATTAATACAATTGTGTATGAACAAGATATAAGGCACAGACCAGGAAAAAATACCAGCAATCCAAGTCGATATTTAAAAATGGAGAAGTTGGAGGTATTAAAAAGGATAAAGCAGAAAATGCAAAACATACAACGCTTTTATCCGGAATTGTACTTTCAAAATGCTAGCATAATCGACCTTTGGGCTTTAAGTGCCATGGAAAAGCTAAAAACGGAAGTGATAAACTTTGATGGCAAATGTAATGGATTCCTTTGTATGTAATTTCAATGTTTTGTAACGGACGATTTAAATTTCTGCTTAAATATAGCATAGAGCTTAGTTAATGGTCAAAGACTATTCAAAAATGGTTTACAGAGTCTATTGTCCGTTGTAACCGGCTGGTTACTTTTCAACTCTCTTCCGTAAACTATTTTTTTCACTACTAGCGTCTGATGACATGATTATTAACCTTTTTTCCACTTGTAAAGTAGGCTTTCTCGGCATTTGTTCAAAGTGGTTAATAATTTTTTATTATTAACTAGTAGTCAATAATGAGAACTGCAGTCACGCTGTCACTTTTAGAAAACACAACCCGAAATTTCACTCAATGAACGTTTAGACAAGTTCTCTAAAACGAACCATTCGCAATTTCCAGAGAAATTACATACCTAAAATTATCACATTTTGAAAAAATTCGAACGAAATTACTCTTTGAAAAATCTCAATGACAGAACAAAATACGGCCCGTTTGACTTGTACTTCCACGTACTTGATTGACATGTTAAATTAAGAAACAAACAATTCTGTCCAACCGTTAACTCTCTTATCAATATAATATGTTAATTTAGAGGACTTCAAGTGCTAGTAGTGAAAAAAATAGTATATATACCACGGTAGAGAAGTCTATTATTGCCTTTGCACCTTACACCCCTCGGCGCAAGCGCCTCGAGATGTAATCTTGGTGCTCAGGCAATAATAGTGGACTTCTCTACCTTGATATATAATGTACTATTATTTGGGGGAGGTTCTTCTTATATAAAATAATTGTTGGGCGCCGGCTAGCTTCAGTCGATAATCCTCTTCTGGCCTCGAGGAAATGGGAAAGGATAAATAAATAAAAAGTCAATAATCTTTATTAAAACCTATTTTGTTCTTTTTCTCTTAGAAAATCGCCTTTTAACTGTAAATAACACATATTAAGAGAAATGGAGGGTGAGGCGACACACTCCTGTAAAATTGGGATTAGCACTCATTCATCCACAAAAAGGCACTGCACAGAAAGGAAAATCTGTATTTACTACGTGAATTAAAATCAAAGTATTTACTCTAAAACCGCTGAGTACAGAAAGAAACTTAATTATCATACAATTATATCGAAAATCAAATCAAACTGCTGTAAATGCGTGTAGTAACGCCTCCAGGATCGAGTCGTTAAAATGAACACAAACATGCAAGAATGCAACACTAGTAGGTAATTAAATCGCCTTTACAATGACACCACTTTAGACTAATCCCAGGTAGTGCACGGCCGTCATAATGACGTCATTTTGACGTATAGAAATGTCCAAGAATACGTCATTTGGAAAGTGAAAATGACGTCAATATGACCCTAAAAAACGTACATATGTCACATGCAAAATGACGTCCTTTTTAGACGTCATTAGAACGTCATGTACTGACGATCTAATGACGTCCGTTATGCTATAAAAATACAAATACAAGAGCTACACTACTAAATAATAAAGAATAATTAAGCGTCAACTTCTTCATAACTATGAATAATGGGAAATGATACTTTAACTCCTTCTTCTATTGGAAATACTAAACACTTGGCAACTAATTCAGTTGCACAACATACATGAAGACTAGGAGATAAATGTGAGATAACGTAAATATCTAAAGTATTAGAATCCAACGGATATTTATAAAGTGAATCATATGCTTGGAAATACTTCCCTACAATAAATGTTTCATTCTTGATTACGATTATATTTTCCACTTGTAAAAGTTTTCTTTCATTTGTAAGCACATATGAATTTGCACTTGAATAAGAATAAGTACAAATGATAAAATTTCCTTGATTGTATTTACTGAATTGCATACAAGTCACAGTTCTGAATACTTCAGGCAATGGCCCTAAATCATGTTCCACATAATGGCAATTCATTTTTTCTGGAATGCTTGCAATATTTCTTAACTGTTGTATCTCATATAGTCTTCTACATGCTTGTTGCAGTGTATTAGTAGGAGATCGAATGAGACGTTTTATTTGACCAAGAAAATTCTCAAAGGGGAAGCATGAAAATGTGTCTAAAGGTCCATACTTCATTACATCGTCCGCTAAGTGCAAAAGTGAGTGAATATTATACACTAAAAATTGCTTGCCATATAACTTTTCCGCATGTTTTACAAAGACTAATAGAAGTTCATTTGCATAAGCACATCCGAATTTTGATATTAATTTTCTTGAAGCCAAAATAGAAATAGCCACGTGAAATATAAGAAAATGTTCATAAATGGCAGTGTTAATCCTTTTTTTAAGAACAAATGCACCCAAATATAACAAAAAAGTGCGGAATTCCGTAGCTTTCCATCGTTGGACTTCCCCGAGAACCCTCGGTTTTCTGTTGAATTCAAATGGAATATGGGATTTTAAGGAAAGAATACATTTTGAAATGGTTTGTACTTGATGATTAGATAATCTAGTGGCTAAATTACCTTTCATCCAAAAGCACAATAGTTTTCGTGTTACTCCCAAGCAACAACAATGCATGTAGTCTAAAGGAAATAATGTGACCATCCCTATTTCTAGCTTTACCAAAGGTGAAATTCCAATATGATGATCTTCATCTAACTGTGAAATAAAATTAGAATCGGTTCTTTTTTGAGCAGAAAAATTTCTAAAAACCACACGACCTTCCACATACTCTCCAGTATCAGTGCATTTTTCGCAACTTGAATAGCCGCTATGTGTTTTTATTGATTTGACAAAAGCACGTGCTGGGGCATCACAAACGAAGCTGTGCACAACCACATCATACTTTTTACCATTATGTACAAGACCTTCCTTTAATAATAAATTTAGTTCAATAACAAAATCATCTAAAAATAGTTCTATCGGTTGTGGTTTAGATGTACCAGAAAAAATTGCCACAGCAAATGGTTTACTTTTAATATTTTTTATTAAACCCAGAATTGGCCAAAATTGTTGACTAGAACTATTAAATATAGGTAAACCGTCAATATTGAAACTGATTTCTATTTGAGTGTGAACAATTTGCTGAAAGCTTGAAAGCACACACTTGACAGATTTTGCGATACCCATGTAATAAAATTCACCTCTCCCTAGTGGTTTAGTATGAAGACGACGCGGCGTTTTTAATAATGCTTTAGCAGTTAAAGGTAATTCAGGATGATACGAGTGCAGTATGTGAAGCAAACTAGTAACAGAAGCGTGAGAGCTATTATATGCAACACACCACTGCCTTAACTTAGAAATTAAAGATAATTCAACACTGAGTTGTGAAGTACTTGTGTTGTTAAAAGTAATTACATTTAAAGGAACAGGAAATTCATTGCAAGTTGTGTTCACATCTGATGTGTTTATTTCTGAAGAATTATTACTCACATTTATCTCCAAGTGCTCACATCTGGGTTCAGGTAAACCCAAAGTATTGTTTATATATTGCAATGTAATAGGTTCATTTGTATTATTGACCAAAGATGTAGTACCATTAAGTGTTTCCCTTACAGTTTTTGCAATTCGGCGAAAAAGTTGGCGCTTACCTACAAATGCTTTAACTTTGTATTTTCTCCTTTCTGACATTTTCTTTTTTCAAGCGTTCCTGTGCATGCTTGAGCCAAGTTTTGATAGTGTCTTCTATTGCCTTGTCTGTAGCATTTGAAATGCTCTTCTTAACAGCATCTAAATCATCGATAAATTAGTGTTAAATCCTACCTTTACATGAAGATCTTACCAACGATTAAGCTCTTCACCAATAATGTGGAGAACGCTTGTTTTGTGGACCGCTGACCGTAAAAATTAAATTGTGACGCAACCGAATCAGATTTTTTAATATTCTGTTAGTTTTAGATGTGATAGTATCACCACCAAGAGTAGTCAAATACGAACCCTAAAATCCTAATCATAAAAACTGAACTATTTCAACTGACAACTTACCAAAGCAGTATACTTTTCTCCATTATTAATTAAATAAGAATTAAACTCAAGTAATTCCTGTTGAGTTTGAAGTGGTAGGGAGAATGGAATCTCTGGCATACCAAACGATGAGATGTTATTGGTATTTTTATTGTCTTGTTTTGCGATCCAAGACAAAATTTCGTCGTTTTGCTCTTTAACACGAGCCACTAAGGCAATAAGTTTATCTACAACTAAAACGTCCATTAGGAAAATAAATTTTGCAAATTCCACATTCAAACCTGTAACGGTCAATTGCTCTCGAGACTGCTCCGCTGCATTTTGATGATGTAAAGTGCCTTTTGACGTTTGAGGACTTTGGAAATTGTCGGTTTGATTAGTTGGTCGTTGCACCAATCTTGTCGATACCAAGTGTGAATGCCTTGGCGATTTCAATACGGCAGCTTCTATGATATTAAGATTAAATTACAGAAATGTATTAAAAAACGATACCTTTCCGAGATGTGACAGTAGATCGCTTAATTGGTGGTGGTCTAGGTAAAGACTCTTCTTCCTCCTCGCTGTCTTCTTCTGAAGAACCAAACAACTTTCGGCTAGCTTTCTTACGCTTTTGACGACCAGTGTTTGCTGCCTCATCACACTCACTCTCTAAACTAGAAGTAAATTCCGCTTCCTTTAATTTTTGTCTTGCTTTTAAAATGTCATCTAAAATATCAAAGTTAATGCATGAAAAGCAGAAAACCAAGTTGATCACCAACCTGTCTGGTAAAATATTCTATCTACACTCCACAATGTCCATGAGCTTTGGACGTTTTCGCCGCAACGTAGAGCTTTATCGAATTTCTCCTGCTCTTTATATGGAGGCCAATAAGCTTGTTTCTTTAGTGGCGTCAACCAAGATTTATGGACGGCGCCAATTCGCCCATTTTCGTCTCCAAATTCAACTATAACGTACGCCATAACTTACAATTAAAACCAAAACCTTGAACGGGTACAAAACTAAATATTGTATATAATAGAATAAAAATGACCGTACCTTTTTATTTATTACGAACACAACAAACAAACTCGAACACAACTCCGATCACGATGTGAAAGCCACAACACGGTGAAGGCTAAAAAACACCGCAACGCGCAGCCGCACGGCGTTCTAAGCATTGTTGTCTTACAAATATACAGCGTTGCCAGTAGAGTAATTTTGGCTTAAGTTTTAAGGATATTTACATCCGTACAAAATGATCTAATAATTCGCAGGGATATTTAGTAATTTAAACTCGTACTTTCAATGCCATAATTGCGCACGTGCCAGTCAAATATCTGAAGCTAAATAGGTTATAGGTGACTTTTAAATGACATCATCTGTACGTCATTTTATGACGTCATATATGCGTCAACATATTGTCGTCAATTTAACGTTCTGATTACGGCATGTGACGTCTTCGAAAAAAAAGGACGAAAAAATGTCGTCATATTGACGCCGTCTGCTAATCCTGGGAACATGAATTAAAATTTTAAGAAATACAGAAGACGCTGTCTAAAACTAGCATGACCTGAAAGCAACCATCCGGTAGGCCAATGCCGGTTCTCCAGCTTGCTGTATCCACTCATAACTCCATACCAAGGTCAAATGGGACTTGATCATCACAGAAGCAATTCACCGTTTGACGCGATTTTGTACAGGATTATCAAGGAAATACCTGCGCTTGCTCGTAGGCATACCTTCTGGACACTATTAATTAAATAAGCACAAAACACGTCCCTGTAGAGGTTGCAATACAGACGAGAAAATAGCTCACAACATTCTTTCCAAGTGTCCCACGCTCGTCCAAATGAGAGTCTATGTCGGGGAATCATGGCGTGGGGTGCTTTTAGTGACACTGGAGACAGACGACTGAAAACATGGAGGCGCCCCGCTCCAAATCGAGAATTCGGACCTCGATTATTTTCAAATATTTATTGATAAGAGACTTTTTTACTGACAATTTCTATAAACTAAATTGCTAAATTACTCGTATTATAAGAAGGCAATACTTAATTACCTATATTAGTAGAATATTAAGACAAACTCTGACAGCCACTCTCAAAATTGAGAGATTTACTTAAAAAAAAGACTGCTCAAAAAATGGGGTTAGTTGAATGATGGATCATGGTCAAAGTCATGTATGCGTCTGACTTCGATAGAGGTAAATTACGGTACAACTTAAATATTATTTTTTAAAATATCACTCGGTAGCTGCTGATTGCAGATCGTTTAATTTTTGTTTTAATGGTAATAAAATGGTATTACTCTCTACATACTAATACTCAATATTCTATTCTATAACTGTAATTTACCTCTAATGTACACGAAAATATAAATGTCATCTAAACTATTACGGATCACAACGATGTGTGCGTGAAGAAATTCCCTCATAAGCTGAGCGTACAAGTATCATTCAATTCAAACAAAGTTAAGTATTTTTAGTTACATACTAAGGTATGTATTTTATCCCGCAGACCAACAATTTCATAAAGTTGTCCCTGCACCACAATAAAACAAAATAAACCCTGATTTACACTTTTAAAGCACAAATAATTTAAGTCAAGGCAGTTCCGATTTACAACTTCTGTATATATGCACTCGAATTTAAAAAGTAATTCAAAATAAAAGTTCCCTTAACTGTAAGAAATATCAAAAATTTTTTAAAGCATTATTTTTAAACAGCGAACGTTTTACATTTGCAACAAAACAGTTGCTCGTACACTATCACACTTCTTATGAAAAACGATCGGATGATCAATGGCAAAGCAAAGCTCGCTCTTTTTAGATATTAACAAATCAGTCGACTTCTAGAGGATACTACATCGAATCTGCTTAAAACGGCCGTGGCCCGGTATTCCAAGTTTCGGCGACTTGTGCTTCCCTCTACTCGCTTTGTCCTTACGAATCTCTCGAACTAATGTATAAAAGGCATCATCTACACCCATTCTAGTCTTCGCCGAAGTTTCCACAAACGGTATGCCGTACTGTTTAGCGACCTAGAAAATAAAACAAAATCAATTCAAAGTAAATTCCACAAGATTTATCACCAATCAATAAGTGCCTAGTGGAAACCAAAGCCCGAGTTTTGATGTGACAAGTCTTGCACAACATAGATTTGAAGTATAGTGTGAAGGTTAAATTTTGGAACAAACGTAGATCAGACAAGGTGAAAAAAACGATTGTGTTGCTTTTGTGTTGGCAGTTCAGGTGTTTTGCATTGAAAAGTAAAACAAGTGCAAATGTGCCACTGCACATATTTACAGTACATTCATTCACTTGGCATAAATAAGTAGTTAATTAACATTGTGTAGAGTATTCATTTATAAGTTATAGCTTCAGAATAAAAAACTTTTTTTCCCAAAAACAGTTTCAGCGCTAAATTTGTTACTACTCTGACATTAATCAAAAGTTCTATATAAAAATGGAAATGTTATATTAAAATACAATTTCGGGTAATACAAAGCTCGTGAGTAAAATGACATTGCTTGACTCGGAAATTGAAATACTCGCCCCAAAGGGGCCTCGTACTTCAATATTTCCTCGTCAGTAATATGCCATTTTCTTAACTTTTATGTAAATAACTACTACATAGTTTTTAATAGTTATTTACATAAAAGTCAGGAAAATTACACATTACTGGCGAGGAAAGATTGAAGTACAAGGCTCCTTTGGGGCCGCGTACTTTAATTTCCGAGTCAAGTAATGCCATTTTACTGACGAGTTTTGTATCAAAGTTTACCCAAAATCGTATTAAAATAATCAAATTTCAATTTTCATACGGAACTTTTGATTTATGCCAATCTGTCAATGATGACAGGAGTCATTATAGACATTTAGCGTGACAAGTGCGGCAGGAAAAGTGACAGGTGCGGCCGGTAATTTGACAGGCGGCAGGAAAGTACACTGAGAAAAAAGTCTGGTTATAGTTAAGAAAGGGATTTATTTGGCTGAAATTTATTTATCATAAACCTTCCATATTTTTCAGAAACGTGCTATTTTAGAAACTAAGAAATCCAATTGTTATTATTAAACTAAATATTCATTTGTAAGTGTTTAACAAATCTTATTAATAGTGATGGTAATTAACTACCAGAAAAACAATATCTTAATATTTAACTTTGTTCGATATCATTAAGCATCGGCGCTAACTTATCTCACTTCCCTTGGGAGCGCATATAATAAAATTGTATAACAGTTGGACTGTCGACTGTGCTGTTCTGTGTGGCGTCTTTTTTGTTATATTTATATAGTTCGTGCACCTTCAATTCAAAATTCCTATACGGTGTTGTTGTGTGTGTAATTGCTGTGTTACTAACACCTACGAGTATTAAAACCACTGAAAACCGTGTAATGGTAAGTGCGAAATCGTTCCCTTTTACCTTAATTTAATGTTGTGCAATTTATTATCAGGTAGTGTGAAGCACCTAATTATAACAATGGCAGATAGAGATACAGAAATGGACCTGGATGAAACATTACAAATCATCGGTATTGGAGAATTTACAGCCCTCTTTCAAGGTAATAATGATTCATTTATTTATTGCAAATTTAAGTAGGTATGTACGTGTTCATATTACAAGTGCTGTGCTTGGCTGCCTACAATATTTATTGGCGTCATTCATCATTGGCGAGATACATAGAAGTATATTTATTTAAAAGAAACGTTTCTTAATAGTTAACATCTTAACTGTAACCCTAGTTCTGATTTATTACTACCTAACGCAGTTATTTTTGTCTTAATAATCATTCTTGTTATTAAACGAAATTTTTTAATCATGAAAAATTAACTAAAGTTTCTGTATCTACTTAATCGCTTGATTTATTATACAGTATCTATAGATTTTTAGATTAATCAATTTTTTTTCTGTTTTCGAACATCATACCTAAC